GTTCCGGAGCGAGACCATGTGCCTGGCGCAGCTCTTCCTGCAGTCGGGCACGGCCTACGAGTGCCTCAGCGCCCTGGGCGAGAAGGGCCTGGTCCAGTTCCGAGACGTGAGTGTCGCCCGAGCCGCGGCCGTCCCGCTGGGCCTCCTCCGCGGGCGCCGGGCAGGGCGGCCGGGGCCGTCGGGACCGCCCCGTGTCGTCCCCGTCAGCTTCGGGGAGTGCCGTGGATGCTGGGAGCGCCCGGGCCGCCGGCACCGGGCTGAGCGGGGAGCGGGTCCCAGAAGGCCTCTTGGAGTTCTTCTGGGGCTTACGGGGGTGGCCGGGCACACACTAAGCAAATAAGTGTGTAAACGAGAAGCTGTTGGCAAGAAAGAAAATACAACGGGGTGGCGCGATGGTGACTCGGGTGGGCTGGTCCGGGAGGCCTCTCTCAGGGGGTGACGTTTGCGCCGAGACCTGAATGGGAAGGAGCCGGCCGTGGGGAGATCCGGGGGAAGGGGGTCCCGGGTGGAGGGACAGGAGAGCCCGGAGCCTGGCTGGGAAGGCGCTTGGTGTGAGCTCCTGGAGGGAAGGGGTGTTGCCGGTGTTGTTCAGAGACGTGGGCTGATGTCCGGACCGTGAGCGGCGCCAGCGCCGGCAGTGTTTGTTGAACGGGAGCTGTCTCCCGAGCGAGTAATAACAAACCCTTGGTTATATATCTGCTCACGCGTTCGTTTGTCTCCACCCACGCCTCAGGATAAGGGCCTGGCCTGCCTTGGTCACTCCCGATTCCCCAAGACTTAGCACAGTCCCTGTGCTGGTGGGCATTAATAGGCGTCTGTTGAACACTCGAACAAGCTTGTATTGAGTGCTTGCTCTGTTCTAGACCCTGGTTTTGGTGCTGGGGACGCGGTGGTGAGCAAGGCAGACAAAGTCCTTGTGTTCTTGTTGCTCCCAGTCTGGGAGGAGACAGATAGACATAGTCCTCTGACTATGGACTGTGATAAATGCCCTGGGGGGAAAGAACCCCTGTGGACCGGAGGTTATTAAGCAGGACCTGATACTTACGGATTGAGCTGAAAGTCACTTCAGGTGAACATCTTATTTCCTGGGCCACAGCCTTCATCTCCTGGTTGTTTCCCTTCATGTCTTGGAGGGGGTCCTTAATTTCCAAAGGGAACATGCCTACCCAAGATGTGATGTCAGTGATCCTTGGGGTGGCCGGGTGAGGCGGTCTCAAGGTCAGGGAGAAACTCCTGTGTGCCAGAGGAGGCTGCAGGGCAGGCCTGACTCTCCTCCTGGTTCCTGGAGCCACTGGGGCTTCCGAGCAGGGTACCCACTTACCTGGTGGGTGCTGTGCTGAGCTGTGAGCAGCACCCGAAAGATTCAGGAAACAGTCGTGAGGGAAACAGGCTCCCTTCTTTATTACACATGGATTTGTTCCATCCTGTTAGTGCTCAAGCCAAGAGACTTATCAAGCTTAGATCTTAGAGATTTGAACAAGTGTCCTAATCACCACAAAGATGCCAGTTTCACAGTGCCATTACGTTAGGGAGTGGGGGATACTTCTCTAACTGAAAATCAGTGAAAGAAAAAGAAAGTGTGGTTCATCTTTTTGCAGAAGGAAAATAAAACTAAAATGCTAAAATGAGCTCTTCCTTGTGTGTTGCTAGGTTTTCAGAGCTCAGGTAAGCGTGTGTGTGTGTGTTTGTGTGTTTGTGTCTTCCAGTTGACTGTCAAGCAGCATGGGTGCTGGCACAGAAAGCTCCATCACGTCTGACTCTTTTTCTGCTCTTTTCTGGAGTTTCTTACTGACTTTGGGTTCACCGGATGGGATCACTGACGTCAGTCTTTCCTGGCTTGCACAGGCTGGATGGTTTTCCCCTTTTCTTTTAGTAATCTTTCTAAGGGAAAGGAGGCAGGTCAAAAGTTTCTGTAGTGACAGCCAATAAGAAGACCTGGAAAAAAAAAAGGTTTTTCAACTAACCAGCAGGACTCAGTGAAGGGAAAGTTCGTCTCACTGTGTAACAGTCTGCAGTCTAAGAACAGTTTACTCCTTTAGTCCTTTGGCTGCTGGGGTGGGAACATCCCTGCTGTGGGTATCAGTAAAAACACACCAAGTATCCTCGGTTGGTGTTCCCAGGTTAAATGTTAGTCCCAAAATGAATCTATGTTAAAATGTGCTTAATATCACTAGCCCGGAGTTAGGGGGACATTGCCTCCCTAAAAAGAAAACAGAAACAAAACTTTGTTAAAAAAAACCACACAACAGGGCCGGCCCCGTGGCTTAGCGGTTAAGTGCGCGCGCTCCGCTACTGGCGGCCCGGGTTCGGATCCCGGGTGCGCACCGACGCACCGCTTCTCCAGCCATGCTTAGGCCGCGTCCCACATACAGCAACTAGAAGGATGTGCAGCTATGACATACAACTATCTAGTGGGGCTTTGGGGGAAAAAA